TAAACAAAGTGCTAAACTCCTAAGAACAATTTCTTAATATTTAACTTAGTTTCTGAAAGTCATCTTTCGCTATTTCTATCCGCCTTTCGATTTCAGTATAAGACTTTCTATCAGAAATGTAGTCGTTGAGATTATGAATGTTTGGTCATTTGCCTTAGTGATTAATTAGTTACAACAGCCTGTTTGGCTGACTGGTGGTTAATTTTCAAGATCGGACAACCATGCTGAAGCAAATAGAAGACTGCACACAGAGCTGGGGAGGGAGCAGTCCACAATATGGAGATTCATTACAGGACTGCAAAGGGTGCAAAGAAACCGAGATGCATTTTTCGAGCAATTAATTGTGGGGGTGGGGGTCATCCTGCTCCCCCTAATTTGAAGAGGTGCATAAAAGCAGATGAAATAATATTTCAGATTGTGTCTTCTTTTTCACAACCATTTTCAACTGAATATTTGAGGGAAATTGCATACAATTTTCAACAAGTTTTTAAATTAAAAATAAAGACATGTATTAAAAAATGATCTTAATAAATTACTTTCATTTGTTATTAAAAAGTCGACGAAAAAATTTCATAGGTTGCATGTCACTGATGGTGAGTTTTCCTGGAGTTGAGTTGTCACGGAGATGAGATGGCCGGTGTTGTGTCGGCGAGGACGAGTTGAACTGCACCCCAGATGAGTTTAGATCTGATGAGAATATCTAAGAACCTTAACTCGAGTCCTTAGGTTAATCTTTTGGTTTTGTAGCAGCAGCTTGCGGTTTGGGGCAAAACTACCCCTAGCTTAGCTTATTCTATATTCAGTTTTTTTTTTCCTTATACTATTTTTTTTTAAATAACCGATCTATACAGCGAGGTATTTAAAGTATTTGGTATCTATTAATTACACATTCTGAATTTTTATGACTGATTTAGGGTATGTAGCTTTAATTTCAATTTCGGATTCTAATTCTGTTTTGGAAGAATTTATCATTTGATAGTGAATTTTGATTTCTTTTTAGTTCAAGTTCATTCTTATCCCTACTACAAATGCCTATGTCATCAGCATTACTGACCTCGGGAAGGAAAGCAAGAATGCTGTTTTATATTAGTAGATTCGTTTTGGATATGGCATGGAATGCATAAATGATTAGTGCCCATCTCTTGCGTAGGGCATAGATTAGGAAGAGACTAAATAGATTGGGGTTTTCATATTCTTCTGGTACTCCTGATGAGTTTTAAAATGATTCGCTACTTGAGTCTTCACCGGACGAGTACGATTTTGTGTGCCGATATAGTTCCTCTATCAAATATATAGATTCTGTAGAGACCATGTCTAATAGATCAGAAGTGAAGTCTTTATTAATGCGATCATATGCCGCTGTGAGTTCAACATAGCAGGGAAACACTTTTCTGTTGGAGAAATATGCAAGTTCATGGAGTTGTTTGATAACATATGCCATAATTACACACCTTACCAGAACGAAAGCCAAATTGAGCCGTTAAGAGAATGGTGAGAGGCTAATTAATACAATATTGATTAATACTTTCACAATGGATTCTATTATGATAGTTCTGTATGTTTTCTGGTCTTGAAAACTACCTTTTTATTTCTACAGTACATTAATGCACGATATACTCCATTGGTTTCTGATTCTAGTCTTCCTTCCTAAAACTGAAAAACTTGGTTTAGAATTCGGGAAGAAGGTTAGTTATTTTTTAAAAGTTCAGCCTCAATGTCCAGTGATACTTTAATATTGTTTGTTTTTTAATAACTTTCTTGATTTCCTCATCACGAGGTTCGTTGTTGTTGTTCATGTTTGGAGACAAACATTTTAATGCTCGGATATATACATTTTTTTTCAAAAACAAACCCCCAAAACCTTTCTCGATGCAAGACAAAAAGGGTTACCAAGTGTAAAAGAATAAGAAAAAGGAACAACAATAGAAGAGTAATCCGGAAGACAGTAGATAACCAGTGACATTGCATTTAAATTTTTAAAGATCAAAGTTGGCTGTAAAGCATGGAACCGGAAAACGGTTCCACAAGTGAGAAGTGCGAGAAAATAATATGTTAATATAGAACATACGGTTGCATCTAACCAACTGTATATTCTTCTAGCATCTTTAGTGTGGTCAGGGTTGAAATGTGATTTGAAGTGGTTTCGAGACCAGGACATTTCTTCTGTTTTCGCTTTGATTGTATGATATTACGATTTGATTTGCTTTTCTCCACATCTCAACTAATTAATCCATTCATGATTTTAGACAAATGGTACAGGCCAGCTTTGTAGTATTGTCATACATTGAGACCAAAACGACAAATTTAGTCTTCTGTTTAGAAAAAAAAAAATGAAACGGAAGCTGAAGTTTATATGGCACCGCGAATGCGTACGAGTGGGGTATTTTAAGAAGTTAACCTTTCAATTTTAAGTTATCTGATATTGACAAAAGGCAATAATTGCTTCCTTCAGTAGACCAGCTACTAAGAGGTACAACCGTAAAACAATTTTAACATAGAACTGAAGATCGGTTCTTTGTACCGCCCTAGGAAATACCTGAAACTTCTTTACGGGACTCAAATCAAACCGAAAAATGGAATATTGCTGCCATATCTGGGTGTTGTCCAGCGATGACAGAGTTCAAATGCGATTACGCAGCCCTGTGAGTGATGAATTATTTTCCATCTTAAAACCCCTTTTCCACAGACAAAACGATGCTAGCATTTCATTACTATATCGATATATCCATGGCAAATGTTCAGACGAGTTCCATTCCTTAGTTCCATCAGTTTAGACCTTCACAGCTACAATCCACCACGGTGTTAACTCATCCTCATTGGTAAGGCGGAAGTTCCCCTCAGAGAACTTCTTCCTCGGGCTCCCAAGAGGATGCTTCCCCGGTCACTAGTCTTAATCTCTTGAGGTTTAAGCTCAACCATCATCTATCCTTTATATTCTCCTATTTCCTCCTTTTACGCACAACACAACCGCATTCACTAAACCTCTACCTTGAGTGGCTCTTGAGCCTTGATTTGGGTGAAGAACAGAATACTCTTAATAGATACAGTATTCATTATTTTTTCTCAGTTCGTGAAGGCCTCTTTGTTGAGCGTAAGTTTTCCCCTGATTCCTGGGGAAGGAATAGGCCATTACTCTACCGCGCTTGGCCCAATGCATGTTGGTAGTGGGAGATGTGACACGCTTGGGTGATCATATCTCTTTTCAATTCATGATTAGTGGGGTCAGGGTTGAAATGCACATACAAGTTCACAGAAACTGGTATTTCCAAACGGTTACTCATCTAGGTACTAACCAGGATCGACGTAGTTTAACTTTGCAAATTTTGAGATTTTAGTTACTACTAATTTCACTCCATCTTATTGCTGATTATTAGGTTAAGTATTTGCATGATAATTATTTTATTAGTCACAAGGTAAGCAAATGGAGTATGTACTCTATGACCTCTATTGCATCCAAAGCTGTAATAAAATAGTAGCTTTCGACTGGAATTGAACTTGTATCATACAAAATTCAGATAAGATTCATTTCACTAATAACTATGACAAACAATTAGAAAAAGCATTTTATTGCGATGAATTTTTTTTACAACTACCAAGAATTTTTTAATGCAAGAATACATTTTTGCACAAAGTGCTACATGCATTGAACCAGATTTTATACAACTATGGGCAGTAGTTAGAAAACCACCACTGAAAAAAATATATCAATCTTTTGGCGTTCAAGAAAGAGGGGTAAAAAAAAAAAAAAAAAAATTAAAAAAATAAAAAAAAAAAACAAGGAAAAGCCTCTTTCATTTAACTTGTCAGTATATATATATATATATATATATATATATATATATATATATATATATATAAAGGGTTATGGTTTTTTGTCACTCTATTCTTCTGTGTCATAAATCAATGAACTTTTGTTTGAAAGTAATGAGACGACTTAATTTAGAAAATGTCACCCCAAACCGAAAATTCGATTTTACCATATACGCAACAAGAGTAAAAGATCAAAATATTTCAGAAGCTTTATTTTTCAATTTGCTGATGATTTAATTAGATAGTACTTATGTATTTTTAACGCAGTTTTTTACAGCTTATAGCTATAGTATAACATACACACTTAAACCTTTTAATACACAGTTAAACATTTTTCATTATTTTTTAACAAATATTCATCGAATTATGATACAGGAAATCAGTTATTTTACAAAAAGTCATAAACCTGATATATATTTTTCTAAATTAAGTCGTCTCATTACTTTCAAACAAAAGTTCATTGATTTATGACACAGAAGAATAGAGTGACAAAAAACCATAACCCTTTTATATATATATATATATATATATATATATATATATATATATATATATATAAGATGAAATGGACTAAGTCCGACAAGTATTTTAATATATTTTGTTTATACGTTATTTTTATAGATACAAATATTTAAGTAAATGCTTTGTTTATAATAAACAGTATTACCTACATTTACCGGCCTGAATTTCATAGAAAATATTTCTCCTTCGTCAGGAATCGAACCTGTATCTTACACGGAATCGTCACATAACCTGACGTGCTATACCATTTAGCTACAAAGGAAGTGTCTGGTTAGCAAAGTCAAATTACTATTTTTTAAACAAATTTCCCATAATCTTTCTCGAACGCTCATATCTGCTTGAAGCGTGTCCTGACGGAAACAAATGACATCATATATTATGAAATGGACTAAGTCCGACAATTATTTTAATATATTTTCATAGAATATGTGTGTCCTCCGAGCGGAATCGAACCTATATTCTACATGGAACAGTCATATAGCCTAATGTGCTATACCATTTCTATGAAATTTCTCGGACATACAGACTGGTAAATGTAGTTAATACTGTTTATTACAAACAGAACAATTACTTAAATATTTCTATGTATAAAAATAACGTATAAACAGAATATATGTTTTTAACAGAAAGTATTCATATATACGAAGAAAGTTGAACAGATTCCCTAATTAAATACTAATTGCATTGGGAATATTTTCTGGAAGTAATACTTCAAATGGAAATCTCAAGTTGTTGTTTCTTTCTGTGATCTTTATAGATGCTGCCTGGAGGTCGTCTTGAAATCTGGTTTAAAAAAAAAAAAAAAAGAAAAAGAAAATCAGAATTATAAGAAAAGCGATGGCACGGAAAACATTGTGATATTAAGAAACCATTTTTAAGAGTACATTCAGATACAAGACAATATTATGAACAGTTCAGTACTCTATTCTTTGTTACAAACGAAACCCTCCTGTCTCGTAATACTCTGCCTAGCTTTCGGAATGCGTCTTTGGATATCCCAATACGTTTTTGGATCACAGCGTCGCACTTATCATCCTCTGTCAGAACACTTAACAGGTATTTAAATTTCCGCACCTGCTTGATGTCTCCAATGAGATTGAAAGAACTTAGGAAAATAATAAAAATAACTACGGTACTTTCCTTAATGAATTTAATATCAACATTAAGAAATCTATAAGGGAATTCGAGAGGATCAAAATAAAAATAGGCATAATATGTCTGCATTATTCAACCAAAGATGCTTGAATGAAGATATGCTACCTATATATATATATATATATATATATATATATATATATATATGAAAATTTCTCCGATTTAACCAGTAGAGAAGACAATATTTATGAATTACCAGTTTTTTTTATTGTCATTTTTATTCATAAATATATGAAGAAATATAATCTTAAGATGTGCTATATTTATGGGATAAAGTGCTCAATATCAGAGATAGAGCGCGTGTAAATATAAAAGTGAACATAGAAGTCAACACTTAGAGGCGACAGTCTGTTTCATGCATCTAGCATGAAACAAACTGTCGCCTCTAAGTGTTGACTTCTATGTTCACTTATATATATAAGAATAGGATGGATTTTTTTGTTTATCATTCCAACAGATTTTTTTTTACTTAAACGTTATGTTTAGTGGATACCTGTATTTAAGTAGACGCCCCGTTTATTTATTATTGTTCACCGGCCTGAATATTCGATAAATCTTATTAAACAAACATTATGCGCTCTCCGGCAGTGTTCAAACCTGCGACCCACTGGACAGGGGAAACCGTCGTTAGATCCAACGAACTTTACACCCCCGAGTCAAGAAAGACTTATGTCTTAAGGTACAATTAAACTTTTTGGGTCCTACGTGGATATCTGTGCATATAAATGCAGACAGTGTCAGTAATTCCGTCTAAATATGTCGGTACTTGATGTGTGTGTGTGTGTGTGTGTGTGTGTGTGTGTTGGGGAGACGTCTGGATAATTTTAAGCATGATGAGGAAGACGGATCCTAAATGCATTGATTAATTCCCTCTTCGGGGCCAAAATGGCTGCCAAGCTAGAATTGTACTTACAAAAAGAAAGAGTTGTAACTTACTTGGCCAAAACTTTGAGTGCTTTTGGATCGTATATATACTGAGTCTCAAAATCACCCAATGAGTTGGTTGCCTTTTCACTGAGCAAATGGGTAATCGTCATTACATTTAGGGTGACATTTCGGTCGGGTAGAGACTGGATAACGTCTTTTTCTGTCCTGGGTTTCTGCGAAAAGTTCATAAAGAGATCATTAGTAGAACCATGATAATATGGTCTTAATCAAGCAGTTTCTATTTCCGCTCCGGTAAAAAATGATCTGGTAAATTTTCTTACAATTTTGTACATTATTTATGGATAAAGTTTCTTATAAACGAGCTGTTTCTTTATCTTTAAATTTAAATAAAATTTAAGATTAAAATGTATAACTTATGAATGTGAGTGGTAGCGACAGACAATCAATGATTTTAGTAAAAACTTGATATCATAAAATACTTTTTGGATTTGTATTAGTATTGAGAGAATAAGACTAGATTTTACAAAAACAGTTTTTTAACAGTTGATAATAAAGACAAATTATTCTAAAGGAAGCTGCTGATACCATCAGAGTTAAAAACGATTTTCTGCTCTGATTAACGCGACAAATCATCAGAGTAGGGCATGATTCTTTGCCATTTACTTGTTAACACGTTGACTGCCAGTGGTCAATTGCGAAATCCGACTTCGGACAAGCTTAACGCATTGACAGCCAGTGGTCACTTACGAAATCCGACTTAGGACAAGCTAAACGTGTTGACTGCCAGTGGTCAATTGCGAAATCCGACAAGCTTAATGCGTTGACTGCCAGTGGTCAGTTGCAAAATCCGACTTCGGACAAGATTAACAATGGATAAGTATGACTATACCAGAATTGCTGATGGCTACCGTTGATGGACCGTTGTGGAGGAGATTTAATATCATTTCTGCATTCGGATCCCCACCCCATACGATTACAAAAGTCAAAGGGATGATGACGACGACGATGATGATGTTTATCCCTTGTTTTTTGTTTAGGATTGGGTTTCCGGTTCTCTCTAGAGTATTTTTCTACTTCTTCACATCCGGTGGCCTGCTTGCATCTTGGTAACATTATCACCTTGCTTGGGGTGGTGACTTACTCTGCAACCCTCTACCTCAAGTGGCTCTTGAGCCTTGTACAGAGTGAACATTACAAAAAACAAAGAAAGAAATGAAATCAAATCACCTTGTCTTTGATAACTTCTCCTCGGATCTGTGATGGATAATTGGGCGGATAAGCGTATTCGGAATATTGCAGGAAGTTAGCAGCGGCATGGCCTGCGCTGCACGTGTACAAGATAGAAGATAGCATCATTACTAAATCATCAATGCTATTAAATCCTGCTTTGCCGTCTCTTTCAGGGACACCCTGAAATAAAAAAGAGCGCGAAATTAAAGCATTGTAAAAGAAATATTCTGTCACATGCAAGGGCGTCAGTCAAATGACAAATGGATTTAATAGATACATATTTAAAGTTTATAAGAAAAATTGTTATAGAATAAAATGTGAAATATCTAGGTACGCATAAAATTAGATTTAAGAGAGAGATGGCAGAGACCGCCTTCTTTTAATGAGTAAAAGTCAAATGGTTGACCCTAGACATGAACATGTTAAGATTGTAGTGTACAGCAAAACAGCCTTTTGGGAGTCGATTCTACAAAGCAGCGGTTCGTGGAAAGAAGCTGCTCAAGTGGAACTAACATCTCACCAATGGAATACGAAGGGAATGAGGGTGGTTTGCTACAATGTGCGTAGATTAGTGGGTCTTAGCCGAGAATGTCAGAACTGGTGGTACCGAGTAAAATAGTTTGTCCAAACATTTTCTATGGAAATAGCGATAGAGTATCGAGAGGCTTGCGACATTGTCGATTCTGACAATTTTGAAGCATTTTAATCTAGGCATGAAAGCAACTGAAAATGTTTGCAAAACTCGAGAAAGAAATGAATGACTTAAACATTTTAAGGGTGGAAACTTCTCCCTTAAAATAAACAACAAAAAAGGGATCGTCAGACAACAAACAACACTCATAAATTAGAACAGCTCGAATCACCAAAATAGACCGCATATCGGTTTGGTTTGGTTTCTTTTACGGCTTATCAACCTCAATGTGTTATTTAATGCCGAAAACTTTTTTCCATGGTAATATCTATTTCTGGTAATATTTTTTTCCTCAAAAATGTATAGCTGGTAATATTATTTTTAAAAACGTATTGCTGGTAATAGTTTTTTTCCTCAAAAATTTATTTCTGGTAATAATTTTTACAAAGTATTTCTAGTATTAAACCTATTTTTACACTTTTATAGTGCTTTTTTACCCCAGTTTCGGGGTTAACTATTTGTCCATAGCTGAGACCCTAACAGGTGCTATCACCCAGGGTCAGGGTGGACCTGGAAACACCAGAAATCAAGAGGTGGTTCCACGCTCCTCAAAAGCTCTTGATCAGAGGCCTTGCTGCTGGATGTAGTCTATCGTCTTACCCAGGAAGCGGTGTAGTTTATCGTCATACCCAGGAGAGAGACCGCATATTGGGCATAACACATGGTTAAAGAAACACACAAGAGCAATTCCCCGTCCTTTTTTTCAGTTGGTAAGTCTTTTTAGGATGTTGGCGATCATGGCTCTCCACAGTTCTTGTTTCTTGAAGTAACTTTTGATCCTTTAATCTCTTCGGTCATTTACCCACACAAACTAAGTAAGCTACTCACTGTGGGTATTAAATCCTCTAGGTCATCTTTCTTCATTTTGTGTCCTAGAACTTTAAACTGTCTCCTTCTGATAGTAAATCAGTTTCATTATTGTTCCTGCTTTTCCTAAAACTTCCTCATTACTCACATGTTCTGTCGATTGTATTTGCAAGCATTCATCAGTAGGACCTCGTCACAGATCACTTCATATGCGAGGAAAGTGTCAACCATTCACTACCATATAGGATACTAGAATTATTTGAAATCCTCACCGTATTTAGTATTGTTGAAGTTATCGTTAACATTTTTGTAAAGATTTACAAACTCTACGTTTCGTTCAATTTCGCAAACCAAACGATGAAATTTGAATAAGCTGATTTGTTTGGAAAAATACTTTGACAAAAACCCTATTTCGCGGTTTAATAATTTCTTTAATTTTACAGGACTTCTTGATAAACAATATTTTTTACGAATTTTTTTTCTTTTTTAATAGCGAAAAATACATTCTTAGGATTTCTGACTCTTGAGCATGCAACATACTATGCGTAAATATTTCTTTCTAGAGTCAAATTCTAACATTTTGAAGCATTTAACATTGTGATTTGCTTATAGACTTCGCAAAGGCAGGGCGAACTGCAAACTGATTTCTTGTGTATAAAAACTCAAAGAAAAGATATTCAAAAAACAATATTGCATTTTTATTAAATAATTATTTGTTATTATAATCATTAATTTTTTTTTTAAAAACAGTGGGAGTATTTTGGATGTTAAATGATAAAACTTTCAATTCTTCCAAAAAATTAATGAAAATTTATTGTACTAAACTACGCACGCTAGTAAAACCAACTGAAATCCCCCCTGCTTACCTGTTTGTACTTCTCCCCAAAATATAGTTTCGATCAGTCAATGTATGGCTATTTTAGAAGGTGTGACGGACGAACAAACAGAAGTCACTAATATATTACATAGCAGTTTAGCACATTTATTTCTGTGATTTCCTCTGTTGTAATAATTTTCTTAGTTTCTTGAAGCATTCAAATTAAGGGCTTTCGGATTTTTGCATTACATATTTCCGTGAACTGTTATCATACTTCACAGGATTAAATTTTCTTGTATCGCATTAAGAAAAAAAGAAACGAAAATCTTTTTGATACACCTGAATAGTTTTCAGTTTTCTTATGTAGGCTTTGTTGTATATTAGTCATCTAATGATTTTTTTTTGGCTAACTTGCATTACAGCACAGAAGAGTAATAGAAAGAAACTTACTGCCAAGCCAATCCCGCCTTCGGATTTCTTTCTGACCAAATCTTCTGCCCAGTTTTGAATTTCCCAGTCATCTAATAACATATTGTCATTATCTGGAATAAATATTTTATTTATTATTGACATCATCATCATCAACAACATCTTTAATAATATCGACATCATCATCACTATAATTTTTAACAACAACATCAGCATCATAATCTATATTAATAATGACATCATAACCCATGTTAATAACATTCTCATCTACATTAATAACAATGGCAACAACAACAACAACAATAATAAAACAAAAACAAACGAGTGAAATTTTCCAAAAAGGGGTGACTTTACTGATTTTATTTCATGTTTACTCAGTAACTCTTTTCAAGCATCCTATGAAAGAAATCATTTTAGGTATAATACCTGTTTTACTAATAGTAGAGAAATTGAATGAGAAATATAAAGGCAAAATAGCCGAAGCCTTTTTTTTTATTATAATTCATAATGCAGATTGAATTAGTTCTTCTGTCCGTCGGAGTACAAAGAAAAAGTTAGAATTTTTTTATTGTTATAAATACATTTATTTTAAATAAAAAAAAAAGCATTAATCCCCATATAATATATGGACTCTGACAACAATGCGTTAACCAGACATATTTATTAAAATTTAAATTATGTAACGGTCATCTCAATTCAGTACCTGTAAATTACGTTGTGCATGAGACTCAAGTCGTGCTACCGGTGAGAAAAATTGTACATTTATTATCGGGCATTATTTTTTTTTTTTTTTTTTAATCAATATATATATATATATATATATATATATATATATATATATATATATATATATATAATCCTGCATTTTTTTTTAAATTAAGAAAGTTGCCCCTGGTATAAATAATGTTGGAAATTCTACAATCTTTTAGGGTTGATTTTTTTCATTGCTGTTTATTTTTATCATTATGCTTTGACCTTCCCCGTGTATAATCCATTCAGTAAAAGGAACATCCTATTATCACTAAGTTCTGAATTTTAATGCCAGACTATCTACTGTTAACATCAACCTGCTTCTCGGAGTTAGATAAACATATATAAATAAACATCCAGTTCCATGTCGTGAGAAGCTGAAAACCTGTAATAACCTTTTTGGTATACTCGCTAGATATTGCTTTATCTCCGGAACTTCCGGTGTGCGTGTGTGTATGTTTAACTGACCAATACTACGCACATCGTTTCAGATCTATACTCACCTAGGTGATACAAGCTGTTGTTAATCTGTAACAGTTTTCTTCACAAAGCGTACTCTTACCTTATTATTTAGACCTTATACAAAAGAGGGTGATATATAAATGAGTGTGTGTGTGTGAGCGAGTGAGTGAGTGTGAGAGAGAGAGTTTATTTTTAACTGATCATTAGGATGTACATTGTTTCAGATCTATACTGACCTGGCTTTTTTATACAGTAAAGTACACCCAGTACAAGGCCTAGGGCCACTCGAGGTAGAGGGTTACGTTAATGAGTAGTTTATATGGAGAGAAGAAGAAAAAGTTTGATTCTAGACTTGAACTAGTTAAGCTTGTAGTGATCGGGGAAAAATCCTCTTGGGAGTCTGTTTGTGAGAAGAAGCTGTTTGAGTGGAACTTATTTCTCGGCATGGTGGGTTCTAGCCGTGAAGGTTAGACCCGGCGGAACCAAGAAATGAAGCTCGCCTGAGCACTTTCAATAGTAATAGCGATAGAGTAGTGAAAGACTCGCCACATTGTGTGTGTGAGTGAGTGAGTGAGTGAGTGAGTGGAGGGTGGGGAATAATTCTTCTCCAAAAGTATTTGGAGACGCTTTTGAACTCTATCAAGACTGGAAATTGAGGATCGAGCAGCTCCCGCCCAAATATGGCAACAGCACTCCATTTTCGGCCTGATCTGGCTGATATATACTATTGTTAAAATAAAACAATTTTCTTCACAATGGGTACTCTTGTTTATCATTTAGACTTTTGGGGTCTTATGTATTGAAAATGCGTTAGATGTGCTTTAGGATCGTTTCCTTAATAGGCTTCTTATATTTAATAAAAATCATTTGTAATAAAGAATGAACAAGTTCTTACCATAGTAAAGGTTTACATAGTTTGTCACGTAAGTGCGGATAATATCGTAGATGAGCAATGAATCGTCTCTGAAATGGTAATTGGGAAGGACTTTTGGATCTTCAACCTGTTACCAAATTAAAGAAAAATAAACAATCATCAATAATTGTTAAGCAATACATTGTATGACATTCTTTCGACATATATCTAAGAAGAAGGATATTAAGCTGAAATTATAAAATACTGAGGATAAATATGAAGAGATATATGGAATTGGGGTAGCATGATTCTTCGAATCAATCCAGATCGCAAGGCCCACAATACACTGCTAGTACTAAAGACCCAGAATTTTTACTTAGCGCGATGAACGGGAGTTCTTCCAAAGAGACCCCTTTCCTTGAACGCCTATTGGGATTCAAGTTCACCCCAGATATGTATTGCAAGCAGCTAGACCACGTGTACGACAAACTAAAGGAGTATCCTGCATTGGTTAGTTCAGGTCGGGCTTTGTTTCATTAAGGTAATGCGAGGCTATACACTGCCTTGTTGACTGAGAAGAAGTTCAATCAGATGGACAATGTTGACCTTCCACATCCACCATTCATTCCTGATGCTGCTCGGAGTGACTATGGCCTATTCTGCTCAGTGGTACACTTCCTCCCTGACCAGAGATTCAACACTTTTTATGTGTTGAAAGAAGCTTGTTTACATTTTTTTTTTAATTTAACGCCAGCGGACTGGTATATGTGACAGATTCGGATGCTGGCTGATCGCTAGTAGAAGATCGTCGAGAATGAGGGACTTTATTTTGAAGAATTAATGTTGTTGTACCTCCATAAACTATTTTTTCCGCTTTCTAAGTGAGTCAGGACTTCCTGACCAACCAAATATATACATTCCATTGCAAAAGATGCTGGAAGTATGGTCGTTTCCTTTTACCATTCCAGTAAGTATCCGACACCTCCTACTATGTTCTTTCTTTACAAGAGCCAGGTCAGACAAAAAAATGGCCTACTGCAACCATATCTGGAAGGGTCCTGTGTAATTTTCACCTTCCAGTTTTGATAGGGTTCAAAAGCGTCTCCGACGCTTTGTAGTGATGAATTATTTTCCACCCTACAACCCCTTTCCCTACAAAAAAAAAGTCGCAAGCCTCTCGTTAATCTATCGCTATTTCCATGGAGAATGCTCTGCCGAGCTACATTCTTTACTTCCACCAACTCTAACCCTCACAGCTAAGACCCACCATGTCATATACACTTCATATTCATTCAGTAATCCCCAACCTTGAATGACTCTTGGGCCTTGTACTGGATGAACACTATCGAGGCCTCTAGATAAGTGATGAAATGATATTCTTTCTTCTGTGGCAGTGGTCCGCGAACTAGACTCTTTTTAAAATCATTTTACCTCAAGCAAGGCAATAATGTCACTAAGACGCCAAGAATTACTGAGATTGAAAGAAATAAGAAAAAAGTTAGAAACAAGGACAATGATAGAACAGAGTTAAGAAAAACAGAAAATGGCGATTGATATTGCATTTAAATTTGTGGAGATTGTAGTTGACAGGAATGCAAGAAACAGGAAAAGAGTTCCACAGTCGATAAGTGTTAGAGAAGAATCTATTAGAATAGGACACGGTTACATCTAGTAATTTCAATAGTAAAATGATGAGATCTAGATGCACATCTAGTAGTACGTCTATATTCACGAGGTCGGGGTACCAAAGAAGAAAGCTCATTAAAACAATTATTATGAAGATATTCATAGAAAAGACACCGGGAAGCTCTGTTACGGCGATGGGAATGTGACGGAAGCCAAGATGCCAGTTCAGGACTGATAACATTACAGACTCTTCTTTGGGTTTTGTCAAGAATCTTGAGCTATATGGCAGGAGCATCAGACTAGATGTGGCAGTAATATTCAATGAACAGAAAGGCTTTTTACCTGGGCTTGAACCACGGAGGAGATACGCATATTGTCGACCACGATTCAGTTATTATATGATCTAAATATTATAGGATTGAGTCGTTTTCTGCAGCTTATCAAACATCTGCAGATCATTTTAAACCCCCAAAATATTTCTTAGATTGTAAGAATTTGGGGAGGATAATAATGCTTTAGTGATACAAGCTGGGTGGGGGTGGAGGGGAGAATAGGTAGATTCATATCTGTCCCAAGGGTATTTGCGCCTGCGAATATGACGAACCCAAAGGCCTTTCCAATTAACAATTCCGAAAAATTACCAATTGCATTATTATTGTATAGAAAGACGACCGACCTTTTCTACATTAATTGTTGAACATAGACTCGTCCATTCACTATGAATAGAACGTCTTCTCATCGGAACAGGGGTATCAAAGTGGCGTAGCACCGAGTCATACGCATTGCCGCATTGAACTATTCGCTATTTTTGTATCATTAATCCATGTCCCTTGTGTGATTAAATCTTTTCTTCACTATTCTTTTGTTCCAGTGTTTTCCTTACAATATTATTAATCAGAAACTATGAGCTTATACGAGTATTATAACAACTACCCACACCACCAAGCTTGTATTCTTAATCGGTCACCCATCTAGGCACTGACCAGATTCAACGGTGCTTACCTTAAGTAATTGTACGGGAAGCAGTATTTCAACGTAATGTGATCGCATGCCTAAATATTATGTGGATATTTACTAATACTATTTTTATATGGCATAAAAGGTTGCATGTTGTAAGGAAGATTGTGTGTCGACATTACGAATCGAACTGTTTTGAAAAAGAAAGTCAACATTTGGAATCTTGGCTTTTACTTGGGATCGAACATCGATCATCGTGGTCGGCTGTAAATACAAAATTCCTACATCCACTAAGCTATCCATGAAATAGCGATAAGGGGAAGAATCCAATTTCTTATGAGTCCAATTATTGTATACCATTGGATTATTTCCCATCACGTATACTTGTATGGCGTAATGAAAATATGTTGACCTACCTACAGTAGAATGGACTCTTCCTCCTTCATAAATACTAACCTGCGAGACATCCGGTGTGGGCAGCCGAGACGTCGTGTAACCTGACAGTTTGGAAGGACACTTCTATCTGCTGACTAATAACACTCTTACTTTGTATATATCTGTTATTTCAATACACTTGATCAACCTACCTTCGTCTTCCGTTCTTTCTTTCTGGCCCTAACAGGCCACAACAAAAAAAAAAAAAAGATAGGTTTCTCTTCGATAGGGTTGAGTAAGATAGCGAATAAATTATAGCCAAGTTAGGGATTTTTCTTACTGATATCATGTAACCCAGAATTATCTTTCGAGTGACAATGTTAACGCGGCATCAGTGGGCATATGGCTTCCATGTAAGAGGCAGCAGCCAGTGGGAGAAAAGTCAAGGCAATCTACAAGGACCACATATTCATAATCAACGCAAACCACCTGGTGAGAGGAATTCGAGAGTACTCAAACCTGGAGAAATTTCATCTCCACCAGGTTATTCCTGTCTAAATCATGCTGCAGGAATGGCAAAATACCAATGATGTCGCCAGCTTAGTCGTCGCTGGCATAACAAGGATTGTGTTGGCCGTCAGTCACTGGAGCGAAGACAACAAGGGTTCAGTTCGAAATTCCTGAAGAAGGCCGGAGCATACAACGGCCGAAACGTGGCAACAAAGATAATGACAACAGTCAAAACAATGCAAGTAATTACAATAGAAATTGTCTCAGAAATATAGACAGATATTATACTTACATTTCTTGATTTAAATTCCGCTGGCGGTGTTCCCTGTAAATCAAACCGCCATTTTTTTTGGCTAAATGGGAAAAAGACGAGAAGGCAATATATTAGTAATATATATTGTAAGGTTTTCATAATTTTTGTATTGACAAAACGTTAAGATCGCATAGCAAAACTATATGTATATCAATTTTTATGATTTTATAGGTATTGCTATTGAAATTTCTACAATAAAAATCCTGAGGTCAGCTTGCTCGGTCCTATAAAAATAAATAGGTTTTATTAAATTAAGGGACATTATAGTTTAAAGGCCAAGAATATGAAGTGTGTTTAAAAATCTGTATTGAAATTTGGGCTTTCGCTTGGGATCAAACACCGGTCATAGCGTCCGTTGGAAATATACAATGCTACATTTATTAGGAAATAGTGTTACAGGTGAGATTCTACATCCACCAAGTAGACGAAAGACTTTTAACGCTTTCATTGCTGCATTGTTATGGCATTGTTACCTGGCTGTTCTGGCCCATTTTGGGGAAAATAGAAACTTGCTGATTACTGGAAATAAATTACTATATAAAGCTGACTGCGACTTCTCAGAGTTCCGCCATTTTAGTTTCGATCAGATATTCCGCTGTGTAAACTAAGCTAAACGATAACCTAACACAAAACGTAAAAAGGACTCCATAGAACAGATCGTACTGTATGTTGCTATACGGTTAGCCTGTTGAAAATAATACTAATCGCTATTTAATTTATAACAAAACTATTAACCACACTATCACAGTATCTTGTAAACAGTATATAAGTATAAAATATTGCACAATGACTGCTGATAGTAAGAAAAGTGCACGATGCAAAATAATAGAGCTTAAATTTAACTTATTAATAATAAATATACATTTTTTCCTCGCCATTTGGATAAACTCTGGGTTTCATGCACCTATCAATCATCTGGTACTGGCTTTTAAAATTTTCAACCACCACTTGAATATTTCTTCGTGAAGGAGTCGTACGAATAAGCGAGGAAAAATGCATATTTGTTATTAATAGTATATATAAAGCGTCTATCAATACTTTACATACATTTCCGTGACTTGTTTCTACCTGCAGTAGGTGATATTACGATTTTTACTGTGAAGAGGATGTTTATTATTTCTTGGTGGTATGTTTTTCAGTCGTCACTTACAATTTTTGTATAGTGTTATAGACACTGGACAATCTTTATACTGTATGGTAATGGTATTAGCTGTTTCCTATATAAAAAAAGGAACACTCGACATTCACTGGCCGAGAAACCAATGCTTTGATTGAAATTTATAAAATATTTTTCTTAAAACAATTTTTCAGGAAAATAGGTTTCTCAAATCCAGTAATTGTTATTGCTCTTTCCAGTATGGATGGAAGTTTTCTTCCTAACCTTTTGTTTGAAGCAGTGTAGAATGTTAACATCATTGTGAGAAATGAAGTTAAAAAAAAAAAAAAAAAATTGGAAAGAGAAGTGAGGCCTTAAGAGTTCATTTAAGACAAAACTTACCATCTCCCTACCAAGTCATACATCCCTTTGACGCCAATGGCCATAGTTGTGTCAACCCAGCCTCCTTCCGATACTAATTTTTTCAGACCTCTCCTGAAAAAAAAAAAAAAAAAAAAAAACAGAAAGAAAAAATAATATTGAAGCTTTCTAAAGAAATGCACCTCCAAAGAAATTCTTTTTCATATAACTATCGATTAAATCTTCCAGATCGCAAATATATCTTTTTAAGTTTAAAGCATTGCCATGCAGATTAATTGTAAATTGATTCCCCTTATGCAACCCCTCCACCACCAAAAATTTTTTACCACCTGATGAAGCATATTATTTACAAAATGTCAACTTTAAAATAGGGCTTACGGCCATATCACGTTGAAACAGCAGTTCTCGTGCGATCACCGAAGTCAAGCAATGTCGAGTTTGCTCAATATTAAATGGGTGACGGTTTGAGAATATCAGGTGCTGTAAGCTTAGATGTACGGGTGGTGTAATGGATAATGGCTCGGAATTGGAGCCGAGTTCCAGTTGCCTTCGTTATAGTCACTACCAGACAAATATCTTTGGGAAAGATATGAATTCACCTCTTCTCACCCAGTTATGGATTAGTTAATATGAGTTGTATCAGTAAATCATTATCTCCCTCAAAAAATTCTTATGATCTAAAATTATTTAAATAATCTACAAGATGTTAAGTCATAAAAAAACGAATCAATCAATGAAATACTGATTAGCTACACAGGCATATCTTTTAGATTTTTTTACATTCCCTGAAATGTAAATGTATATAAATTATCGTGACCACAAAGTGAGGGACAAGTCTATATATTGATCGTAAAATAAAATTGACCCCCCACTTTAAATCCAAATTACAATTTCTTGTTCGTTTATGAAATTCTGATCAGGTTCAAATTCACCTCTTCTCCCACCCCAGCTATGGATTAATTAGTAGGACTTGTAGCAGTAAATTATTATCTAAAATGCAAAAAGCAAAAAAACTTTCTTATAATCTAAAACTATTTCTATTTTCTAGCTTTAAATAACCTGTAAAGAAACAAATGAATTAAGTTAAAAAATAATCTTTATATTAAAGAACATTCTTACTTCACTTTTTCCTGTGTTGTGCAAAAGTTTTGAGCCAACCACATAAAATGATTATACACCTTTATTTTATTTAGAGGTTAAGATTGTTGAGCAGTAGTTTTTATTAGTAGTTTTTGTGGATTTTGACGATTGGAAAACAAATTGCGTTTTTGAAGGTAACGTGTAACAAAAGATTGATAAGCCATAGCTTGAAGCTGAAAAAAGGCCAAATGATAAAGATCATGGTAATATGCAAATTTCTAAGTATGGATTGTTCCATCTTATTAACAAGAGTGTAAGGTAATTTGACAAATCATTGTAGTAGAACATTAACTTACTGAAACCCAAGCTGAAGGTTGTGACTCTTGAAGGGGAAGATGACTCAACAAAAGATAGCCAGGCAAGCAAGGAATTTTCAGAAAGTGTTCAAACCAACCAAAAGATATTTGCTATTACTGGGTGTGTTTTGAAAACCGGAAAACCACAAAGGTTAGACAAGTAATGAGTCTTTGTAGGCAATCCAATATCAACAGCCGGACAAGTGAGAAGTGAAATGCAGTTTTAACAGTGAGCATTTAGTTGACAAATTATGATATGGAAAACTTGAATGGGTGTATAGCTGCAAAAAGCAAAAAATACAAAAAAACATTAACCAAATCACATCGGAATAGAAGCATGAAGTGGTCAAAAGAACATCTAACATGGGATGCAGGAAAGTGGCAAAAAGTAAATTTTAGTGATGAATGCAAAATAGGGTTACATTCCAATGAAAGAGAATGTGTAAGAAAACCAGGAGAAAGAAATACAAGATACGCGACAAAGATGGTAAAATTTGGTGATGAACATGTAATTGTGTGGGGTTGCCATTACAAGAGATGGCAGTAGAAAATTGGTAAAAGTTGATGGAAACCTAAACAGCGAATACTATATTAGTTTATTACGGTCTAATCTTCTCCCAGACTATGAAGATGGAGAATTTATTTCAGCAAGATATTGCTTCTTGCCACACATCGCGTGCAACAAAAAGGTTTCTTGTAAATGGAAATGTTCAACTTTTAAAAGACTGACCAACACAAAATCCTGATCGCAGTATAATTGATCCAGTGTGGTGGGAACTGAAGAAACAAATCGATTATTATGCAATTTTCAAGTGGTTTGAGATCAATGCCAAGAAAAACGAAAAAAAAAACAAAACAAAAAAACAAAAACAAAACAACCCAATGAGAAAATATGGATATTGTTCTATTCAATGCCACATCGAATTGAGACAGTTATACGAGCCAAAGACAATATTGATTACTAACTTCATATTTAGACATATTTTACTATCTGTAATAATAAAGATTACTATCTGTAGAAAAAAATTCTTTTTAACTTAAGAAACGGGCTGAAAGGTGAAATTTTCGTAAATGGCTTAGTATTTTTACGTGGCCATTTTTTTTTTAGTATTACTATGCGCTACCATCCACCATACTGTATTAATGAAAACGTAATAACTTTTCTGGCACTCAAATATGATCATAAAATGTAGCGAGAAAAGCAAATTGCTAATCACTGTTGAATTCAGAGTAAAATTAATAAAATTAATTGATTTGCAAATTGGCCCAAAAGTTTTGCGCATCAGTGTAATGCTTACATATAAAATTTCAAATAATTACAAAAGAGGCATGAAAAATGAATTTAAACCTTATTCTTATCCCTTTCCTTTCATAATAATTATTATTTTTATTTTTTACCTTATCTTTATGTTTTTAGCTGTCTTAGACGCATCCATTTACCATCAATTTACGTTGCAAACCGATTCCGCCTCTTAAAATTTATAAAAAATGATATATTCGTGACCTGGAAAGTTTAATCGATAGTAATATGGAAAAAAGACATAAAAAGATCATTTCTTGAAGAGGTGCGTTTCTGTAGAAAAAAATCCAATCTCATAGCTATTTTCTAAGCGTAGTTTAGATGTGGTACAAGTATGGGGCACCTAGTGAGTATCGAACTCACTTTTCAGTCGTAACTGATCTAACGAGACAAGCTTGCTAACCATTACACCAAGTCGAAGCGTCTTAAATCCAATCTCATATATGTCGTCTAAGCAAGAGTAAATTACAGAGTGGTCCTAAAGTTTTGTCACCCCTGCATAATATACTTTTCTATTTCAGATGGCTGACACGAAAATAATGATATTCATACAGACCTTCTCGATGTGTGACAGCCTCAATGAAAATGAATAAACTGAATCCAGTACATGTGCCTTGTATTACTGTATTGATTGTTCTATTGTTCCCATTTCTTTTTCGTATGGGGGTGACAAGACTTTCGGGCCATTTTGTACTTATAAGTGGAAATAGAAACCCAGGAAATATTTGAAAGTTCTTTCGCTTTCCCTCCTGCATTATTGTTGAATTGTTGTTTGGCTGCGCTGGTACATTATGGGGTAAAATGAAATTGTAATTTAATAGAAATAAATGAATTTAAAGACGCTGACGACGATTTCTCTTGGGCGCCGCCATTTTGATTTCAATCAAATCTTCTGCAGTAGAGACAAAACTAAACGATATCCCCAAAACACAATATAATAAAAATACGTCACGAGTCGGTATTATTGTACTATTTGTTTACGCTGGTTCGGGAAAAACACTAAGCGTCAATTTATAACAAATACTATGGACTGACATTTCACGGCCTCTAGAAAATTAACATATACGTCGGCAGCAGGTAATAGAAGTTTCGTGAAGACGTATAAATACACCCACAGAAGTGGGTGTAAAACACAAACAGAAGAAGTAATAAGAAAAACACCAGATTATTGTATTTTTTTTCTTTTGGTTAAAATAAAGAAGTCGTTAATAGATATGATTTAACATATTGTTCAAAATTGCCGAACATTTTAGTAGCACTTTGTAAGAACAAAAGTTATATTCCGGTTAAGTCACATCATTTTGAAATCTCTTTTCAATAACAAAAATGAAATAAGCCTTAAATGAAGCCTGTTTCAATGACAACAAAATAAAACTACAAATTAATATTCAAAAAATAAAGAAAAAATAATTAAATTAGTGAATTTTGTATATCTTGGTTACAAATTATCTTTCAAGAACAATCGGGAAATTACAGAAAAAAAATAATAACCGAATAAGTATTGGATGGGCAACATTTAGAAAAAATAAGGTATGCTGAAATCAACTATTGTACCAATCCACACTAACATAGGTTAAAAAGATTTAAAAAAGTGCATAACACGATGAAAAACAAACTTGATGAAAACAAAGTTTTATCGTCAAAATGTTTATATTATTAAGAGGAAAATCAAAAGTATTTTTTGATTATTTTATTAATTTTTTAATCATTTCTAGCACGTTAGAAATTTTTATTAGAAATCTTGTTTTTTTTCTGTGTCAGCGGTGGGTTAAAGATGACTATGGAAATTTTAGCGTATTTTTTCCGGTAAAAATTAATTGGAAATTCTTGCAAAAATCAAATAATTGTCAGATTTTAATGAGATTTTCAGGACTTATGAAATTATTTTTGAAGTTTTGGTAAAAATATTTTAGAACTAACTTGTGTTTACAAATATCTTAAAAAAAGGATGACTTTAACGATTTTACTAAAAAAAAAAAAAAAAAAAAAAAATGGAAAACAATTAAATCGAATCTAATAAATATAATTTCTCTTTGAAATATGCCAGAGTATTTTGCTTACTGGAAATAATAAATTTAATCCTTTAGCTTTCAATTAAAACTAAAATAAAAGCTTCAAAAAATGTACCTACATTAACACGAATATATACGTATACATCCTTCCAGTTTTTTTTATATATTTTAGATAGAGCGATTTGAACTTAGAAAAAATGTTCACTTCAAACTGAAATATTCATAATCGCATTTAAGAAATGTAACCAAATCGACTTCACTCTTATCTAATATAGGTCTTGATTAAGCCATTTTGTGTCTGAAAAAGAAAGAAAACCAAAAAAAAAAAAAAAAATTAAAAAAAAAAAAGGAAAAGGGATGACATAATTTTGTGGTCGCTTACTAACGAGTGGCTGACATTAAATAACCTTGTTCAAGATCGTCACCAAAGGCGATACATAATCTTGTCAACATAAAATCTCCGTGCATCGGATGCTTAGAATAAAAATGGTGGAGTTCTACGGGTGTCAGAAAAAAATCTAGAGGCATAACATTAGCAGCTGTTGCAGCGAGGATTTATAACAAGATATTATTGTTGGCCCATTATTGAGAATTAACCAGGATGTATTTAAAAAAAAAAAAAAAGGCGAGCTTCCGTTACACAGATGTTAAGACTGCGTCACCTATTTGGAAACATCAAAAGCTAAAGCCCTTTCAGTAGCGCTGAAAATTGTAGAGTTTAGGAAAGCTTTTGTTTTAT